GAAACAGACAGACAGATTTGATAACCTCATGATTTTGTATTCTTAATCGCAATAGCTGTAGTTTCTAGGGAATGGACTAGCGTAGGGTGGAGTGTATAGACCCGGCCCAAGGGACTGGAAGCACGTAGTCGTAGCTGCGGGCGCAGTGCACTACATTTGGGGGCTGTTCCGGGATTATATTACTGAAATATTTGTTTCTTCGACCCTGGAAAATGAAATACGACGTCCGAATGGCTGTCTACTAAAAATCTTCGCTCGGTAAGGGATGCACCTCCGCAACGGACGCGTCATCGGCCCCACTCCGCAGGAGACTCCATCTATGTCAGTTAACAGAATGCCCAGCGGGACCCCCGCCCATCATCGTCACGCGACTCCTAAGCCCACCGTGGCAGAGCGGCCGCACGGGCATAAAGAGGTGCCCCCACAAGCGATTCCTCTGCCCAATGCTGTACCAGGAGACTGGCCCTTCACCTCGTGGGAACAATTCCACGCGGCTGTGAGTGCGCTAAGGACCGTTATGGGGGGGACCATGGAACCCGGCGATAGGACTCCCATCCTGCCAGAAGACGGCAGCACAGTGCAGGCCTTTCTGCTGCGCATCGAGCGCCGGTACGCGCTGAAGGGAATGGAGCCGCGCGAGTGGGGAAACGCGCTTATAGACTATCTCGTGGGGCCGGCTTTAACGTATTGGATGTATCTACAGCGAACTATCGATCTAAGCGACTGGACCACCGTAAAGCACCGGCTTTTGGAACGGTTTAACAAAACAATGTCACCGAGCGAAACGCTATCTGAATTGGCTAAAGTGCGATGGAATGGTAACCTGAAGGAATACACGGAGCGGTTTGCGACTGTAGCGGAGCGGGCCATGAGTCTTACCCCTGCTGAACTCGCGGAATACTACTGCACAGGGCTACCGACTGACCTCCACCTCTCAATAACTAATGAGGGACACATGAAATACCCGACGTGGGAACAAGCGGCGACAGCCGCAGCACGGTTCTACGAGCCCAAGCAGAGCTTGCTGGAACTCCGCGAAAGAAACAGTCGAGCCCTTAGGGCTGCCATACAAGCTAATGGACCCCGTGGGCGCCATGAAATAGGAAATCGCTCTGGGGGAGCCCGAGGAAACTGTTTTGAGTGTCAGGGACGCGGACACCCGGCACGCGTCTGCCCCAGCAAAGGGGAACGCACCAAGCGTCCGGGGGAAACCTGCAAGAGATGTGGAGGTGTGGGACACTATGCTCGGGACTGCGCCACGTATGAACGCGGCATGCCTGAGCCGGTGGACCAGCGCGGTGGAGCGCCCGCCCGTCCTAACACTGAAACGACGGAGCGATTAAACTTGCGGGCCTAGGCTTAGTTGGAGACGAGCGTTCTAGGCCGCGTAGTCATGGCAAGGGGATGATGTGCGCAGTGGCGACAGGCCCCAATGCCATTCCAGTCTCCTTTGAGAGGAGAAACCGACTCCTCAGCACTGCGGAAGGAACTAATACGAGCAAAAGCACGAGGAAGAGACTCAACCGCTCTCGGAATTGCGGTGGAAGTCTGGGCCAACGTCGATCCTGAGTGAGGAGACTCCGGACGCGACGATGGATAGCCGCAGGAAGTCTGCGGAGGCAACAAAGGAAGGCCAAGGGTCCGACGTGACAGAGATTCTGCCACACTGGTGGAGGGAGACTTACATGAAAGAGTCTTACGACCAAGGGGGAGCGTTGTGTTGTGTGGGTGCGACGGCGGTACTTCGCGTAGAGCTCGTAGGGAGTCCATGTGAGGCCCTCTTGGATACTGGAGCTTCACGAAGTTTCATTAGTCCCAAAACAGTCGAACGACTGCAGCTGAAGGTGCGGATTTTCCCAAGGGAACATAGGTTCACTGTGGCCACAGGTGCACAACTACGCATTGACCGGGTTGTAACAGGACTGACCTTGTGGTGTGGGCACGCACGTTTTTCCGGGGACTTTCTAGTGGGACCTGTTCCCTATGACTTAGTTTTGGGCTTGGTTTGGCTGACGGAACACAAGGTGGCCTGGTATTTTCAGTCGGACAAGCTCCGAACCTATGTGAATGGCCAGTGGTGCGAGTTACCGGTCGTTCGGACTGGCGAAGCAACGCTGCGAGGCGACAGTTCCATCACAGCCCACCCAAGGACCCCTGCAGAACAAGCGTACGAGATACTGGCAAAGCAAGTGTCGGGTATGTCTGCCGAGGAGGCCGCCATATTCCTGCGCCCACCTCCAAGGCGGTATAAACCTCACGCGAAGAAGAAGGCGAAAGCGCGGATAACGTCGCTCGTTCGTCAAGCAGCTGCGGACACAAAGGATCTCAAGGCCCCAATGCACGGTTTGCATCTCATCCTGGCTTTGCCCGAAGCCGGTCCGGCAATGCCCCTACGGCTCGCGGACGAGTGGCAAGGCGTGCTTTGCTGTGCGTTAATTGGGACTCAACCCGCGTCCTCCAGTTGGCATAGTCCTTCGGCCATAACCGTCGCGGGGGCAACGGAGAGTGACGAGGAGTCCCCCTGGCCTCAGGCACAACTCGAGCACACTCTGTTTGACGCATGGATACATTCGACAGAGGCGCAGGATATTCTACGGGAGATAGCACAAGTGTTGCACGAGTACCGAGCAGTATTTCCCGATAACTTACCTAAGGGATTACCGCCGAAACGCCCTCATGATCACCATATTCTACTTGTGCCTGGAAAACTTCCGGCGAAATCTGCAATATACCGTATGACCCCAGATCAGCTCACGTTCCACAAACAGGAGATAGCTAAGTTGTCGGACAATGGTTGGATCGGGCCGACCTACTCGCCTATTTGTTCACCTACAATCATGGTGGACAAACGTGATGATGGCTCAGGGGAGCGCAAAATGCGTATGGTTGTAAACTATCAGGCTCTGAATGCCCTTACGATAGCCCCTGACTTTCCCTTACCTCCCATCCTAACCATTCTCGAGATGTTAGGAGGCGCCCAGTACTTTTCCACCCTAGACCTAGAAGCAGGTTTCCATCAAATACGCATGGCTAAGGAAGACCGGTGGAAGACAGCTTTCCGGTCAGTTCTTGGACTATTTGAGTACAGAGTGATGCCCTTCGGCCTTAAGGGTGCTCCTGCCACGTTCCAGGCCAATATTAATGCCTACCTGCAACCTTTACTGGGACAAGGCGTTATTGCGTATCTAGATGATGTCCTCATCTATAGCTCGGATCTCTCGGGGCACGTATCTCTCTTGCGACAAGTCCTCAGCATTTTCCTTCAACATCAGTTCTACCAAAAATTCCGCAAATGCAAGTTTGCGAGGCAAACGATTACGTATTTGGGTTATACCATTTCCGCTGCGGGGATCAAACCTGCAGAAGACAAAATTGCAGCCATCCGGCAGTGGCCTGAGGTGCTGGAGAACGAAACGCAGGTGCGTCAGTTCCTCGGTACCATAAATTATTGTCGCATGTTCATGGGACCAGACTATGCCGACGTTGCCCGGCCGCTGGTTGATCTTACACGTAAGGGCGTCAGTTTCAAATGGACAGAGCTTCACACGCAAGCGGTGCGGAAGCTCAAACAGCGTTTAATCGACTACACTACACTACAAGTCCCTGACACCTCGAAACCCTTCGAGTTATATACAGATGCCTCTGGTTACGCACTAGGAGCAGTTCTGGAACAGGACGGCAAACCCATCGGTTTTCTCAGCCAAGTCATGAATCCTACGCAACAGCGATACTCGATCTACGATCAGGAACTCTTGGCGTTGGTCGTGGCACTGGACAAGTGGTCGCACCTGCTCCGGGTATCCAAGGTAACGGCCTACACTGATCATCAAGCTCTCACTCATCTCCAACGACTCCGTGCATCGAAGCCTCTGTGCGGACGCACCGCCCGGTGGCTAGACTTTCTTGCGGAGTTACCGGATTTGCACATCACGTATGTTCAAGGAACGCGCAATCAAGTTGCCGATGCTCTGTCTCGCCGTCCCGGCCTCTCTCACGCCTGCTCGCACGACACACCATCGCCACCTCTGATGCTTGCAGTAGCAAAAGCACGCGAGGCTCCCTGCAGTCGTGGTCGGTCTGCCACCTACAGGGAGCTCGCCGGCCTTCGTTCACGACGACCTCGACGGCGCAGCACACCGCCCGCACCTTCACCCGCGTTGGCAGAACCCTCCCAAGAGGCGGCGAATCCTACACGCAAAACGCAGACGCCAGCCGCCCCTCCTGATGTATGCCATTGGCCACGCGCTTACTCGCAGTGTCCTGTTTTTAGCGCTCCCTACAAGGCAGCAGCAAACCAACCAGGAGAAGCTCTGCAGCTCGAGTTTCGTAATCGACAATTCACCTTTCGCTACGTCGAGCCTTACCTGCATAT